TTGGATCATCTTTACTATCATTACTCTGAATTCTTTTTCAGGTAGACTGCCTACTTCCTCTTCATTTGTTTCGTCTGGTGGGTTTTTACCTTGCTCCTTCATCTGCTGTGTATTTCTCTCTCTTCTCATTTTGCTTAACTTACTGTGTTTGGGGTCTCCGTTTCACAGGCTGCAGGTTTGTAGTTCCCATTGTTTTTGGTTTCTGCTCCCAGTGGGTAAGGTTGGTTCAGTGGGTTGTGTAGTCTTCCTGGTGGAGGGGACTGGTGCCTGTGTTCTGGTGGATGTGGCTGGATCTTGTCTTTCTGGTGGGCAGGACCACGTCCGGTCGTGTGTTTTGGGGTGTCTGTGAACTTATTATGATTTCAGGCAGCCTCACTGCTAATGAGTGGGGCTGTGTTCCTGTCTTGCTAGTTGTTTGGCATAGGGTGTCCAGCACTGTAGCTTGCTGATCGTTGCATGGAGCTGGGTCTTAGCATTGAGATGGAGATCTCTGGGAGAGCTTTTGCCATTTGCTATTATGTGGGGGCTGGAGGTCTCTGGTGGACCAATGTCCTGAACTTGGCTCTCCCACCTCTGAGGCTCAAGCCTGACACCCGGCCAGAGCACCAAGACCCTGTCAGCCACATAGCTCAGAAGAAAAGGGAGAAAAAGAAAGAAAGGAAGGAAGGGAGGGAGGGAGGAAGGGGAGGAAGGGAGGGAGGAAAGCAGGAAGGAAGGAAGGAAGGAAGGATAAAATAAAGTTATTAAAATAGAAAAAATTATTAAAAATAAAAAATTTAAAAAGTATTAAAAAAAAGAGAAGGAAAGAAGAGAACAACCAAACCAAAAAACAAATCCACCAATGATAAAATTGCTAAAAACTATACAAAAGAAACAAAACAAAACAAATAAGAAAACCCAGACAGTCAGAACTCTAGGACCCTAGGACAAATGGCAAAAGCAAAGCTATACAGACAAAATCACACAAAGAAGCATACATATACACACTCACAGAAAGAGAAAAAGGAAAAAATATATATATATATAAAATAAAAAAAGGAAGAGGGCAACCAAATCAATAAACAAATGTACCAATGATAATAAGCTCTAAATACTAAACTAAGATTAACATAAAACCAGAAACAAATTGGATGCAGAAAGCAAACCCCAAGTCTACAGTTGCTCCCAAAGTCTACCACCTCAATTTTGGGATGATTTGTTGTCTATTCAGATATTCCAGAGATGTAGGGTACATCAATTTGATTGTGGAGATTTAATCTGCTGCTCCTGAGGCTGCTGGGAGGGATTTCCCTTTCTCTTCTTTGTTCGCACAACTCCTGGGGTTCAGCTTTGGATTTCGCCCCACCTCTGTGTGCAGGTCACCTGAGGGCATCTTTTGGGAAGTCTGAGGTCTTCTGCCAGCGTTCAGTAGATGTTCTGTAGGAGTTGTTCCACATGTAGATGTAGTTTTGATGTATTTGTGGGGAGGAAGGTGATCTCCACGTCTTACTTCTCTGCCATCTTGAAGGCAACCCCCACTGATCTCTTTCAGAGTTCTACTTAGACTCTCCAGTTCTCAAATAATTACAAAGCCCTGGTTCAAGATAAAACTACTCTCCTGTAATCACCTGACCTTTCACAGTTGTTGCTTTCTTCTAATTCCCAGCAACTCAGGTCACCTAAATGCTCTTCCCTGGTGCTCAGTCTAGTCCTATTCCCAACACCCACTGTCCTTTCTTTGCTCTTTCATTTCCTGATACTCCTAATCATCACCATTCTTTTTCTGGGGAATACCTCACTTGGTTCTTGTGTCCTGGCCTTCAGCTCTCCTGTTTTCAAGTCATTTCTATTATTTTTTTGTTTCCTCTAAATTAATGCGGTGGTCCCCAACCTTCTTGGCACCAGGGACCGGTTTCGTGGAAAACAGTTTATCCATGGATCAGGGGTGGAGGGTGAGGAGGATGGTTCAGGAGGTAATGCGAGTGATGGGGAGCAGCAGATGAAGCTTCGATCGCTCGCCTGATGCTCACCTCCTGCTGTGCGGTCTGGTTCCTTACAGGCCTCGGCCCAGTACCCGTCCATGGCCTGGAGGTTGGGGACCCCTGAATTAATGGATCATTCTAATTAGTATTATCACATATGCATAAGCATATTTTTATAAGGAGATAAAAGGGGAATATGTATAAAATATATATCTAACGGGAAGAACTCATCCCAGACAAAGATTTAATCACTCTAAAGTACCTAAAACAGATTTATACTTGTCACTGGACTAGGTAGTCGAGATTGAAATGGCTCCTTCCATGAAGAATCTAGTTTGGGGGTTGGTGACAAAGTGATTTCTAATGATTTTATTAACAATGGAAGTCCCCTAAAACTTTCTTAATTAATTTTATCCTGGGGACCATACTCCAGTGTCAACTCTGAGGCAGAAAAAAGGCGATTATGTCCAAGAGCTTTCCCACATTACACTTATATGTTTTCCATCCAGTAGGCTCTTCTAATGTTTTCCTACCTTCAAAGAGTTTTCAGCAATAAAAACCTTCTATTGTGCAATATGATGTGGTCTCCATCAGGCTTTTCCTATGTTCATTAGGTCTCTGTTACCTATTAGAATAAGTCCTGTTTGTGGACTCTCTTGTGTTCCCCAAGCTCCTTTCCAGTATGAAGTTTCTGATGTTTAAGAAAAGCTGTGTGCCCACTGAAGGCCTTCCCACAGTTGCTACATTCAAAGGGTTTCTCTCCAGTGTGAATTCTCTGGTGACTAACAAGGTGTGAGTTCTGACTGAAGGCCTTCCCACATTCAGGGCATTCATAGGGTTTCTCTCTAGTATGAACACGGTGGTGTTTAATGAGATCTGAGCTGCCCCTGAAAGATTTCCCACATTTATTGCACGTATAAGGTTTTTCTCCACTATGAATTCTGTGATGTCTCATAAGGTCTGAGCTCTGATTGAAAGTTTTCCCACATTCTTTACATTCATGGGTTTCTCTCCTGAATGAGTTACCTGATGTCGGATGAGGTCTGAGCTGCCTCGGAAAGTTCTACCACACTGATTGCACTGATAAGCTTTCACTTCTTGGCGAATTCTCCGCTCTTCTCTAAGCAACTCTTCCTTGCTAAATGTTTTCTCAACTTCCACAAGTTTCTCTCCAGTATGAAGTCTCTGATGTTTGAGAAAAGCCGTGCGCCAGATGAAGGCTTTTCCGCATTCCTTACATTCATAGGGTTTCTCACCACTGTGGATTCTCTGATGCTGGACAAGGAGTGAACGCTGCCGGAAGGCTTTCCCACATTCATTGCACTGATAGGGTTTCTCTCCAGTGTGAATTTTCTGATGTGTAACAAGGTGTGACCTCTGGCTAAAGGCTTTCCCACATTCATTACATTCATAGGGTTTCTCTCCAGTGTGAGTTATCCAATGCCGAATTAGATCTGAACTTCCCCGGAAGGTTTTTCCACACTCAGTACATTCATAAGGTTTTTCTTCCCTGTGAATTCTCTGTTGTTGGATAAGAGCTAAGTCAGAATTGCAGGCTTTTTCACATTCAAGTTCCTTTACAGTATGTAGTCTCTGATGTTTAAGAAAGGCTGTGCGCCCACTGAAGGATTTCCCACATTTGTGACATTCATGGGGTCTCTCCCCACTGTGGAGTCTCTGGTGTTCTGTGAGGCGTGAACGCTGCCTGAAGGCCTTTTCACAGGTGTTGCACTTGAAGGGTTTCTCTCCAGTATGAATTCTCTGATGTGTGACAAGGTGTGAACTCTGACTGAAGGTTTGTCCACATTCATAACATTCATAGGGTTTCTCCCCAGTGTGAATTCTGTGATGGATAATAAGATCTGAACTTTGATTGAAGGCCTTCCCACACTCATTACATACATATGGCTTCCCTCCACTGTGAATTCTCTGGTGCAGGACAAGTTTCGAGCTTCCCTTGAAGGCCTTTCCACAGTCTTTACATTCATAGGGATTCTCGTCATTATGTATTCTCTTATGTCGGGCCAGGTTAGAGCTCTGATTGAAGTCTTTTCCACATTCATGACATATATAAGGTTTCTTTCCTGTATGAATTCTCTGATGTATAATAAGATTTGAACTTTGATTAAAGTCTTTTCCACATTCACTACATACATATGGTTTCTTTCCTGTATGAATTCTCTGATGTACAATCAGGTTTGAGCTCCGACTGAAATTTTTTCCACATTCCTTACATTCATAGGTTTTCTTTATATTACCAGTTTTCTGATGTTCAGTTACTTCTGACTTCTGTTTGAAGCTCTGGCCACAGACTTCATATCTGTGGGGTCTTTCTCCTGCAGAAAGTATTTTTTCTCTTTCCTTACATCCATGGACTCTCTCTCCTGCAATGGCTTTCTTGGGGATCAGATTCACTTCCCTGATACCTCTCTCTTGGGAAGGGGGATATCCCACTGCATCCTCTAAGGGGCTTACCCAATACCTCAATAACCTGTCCTGAGGATCACCAGTTTCAACTAACCCACATCCTTGGGAGATCTGTCTTTGGAGTCTTTCTGATACAGCCCTTGCTGAATCTTTTTCTTCAGAAATTTCCATCTTTGTCTTCCAATCTTTCATCTTATTTTTGGTCTCAGAATCTGAAATAATAAGTAGAACATTCTATGATTCCTAAAATACAAATTTTCACCTCTTTCCTACACTGGGAAGTCTCAGAGGGAGGAACAAGGAACTTGGAAGAAGACTCTTCCCTTCTGGAGCTGAGATTCAGACGTTTTTCAGAGGGATTGTGGCTACCACAGGAACACACACCCTATTGGTGGAGAAGAAACTTGCCAGGGTGCAGGCTGGAGCTGGTGTGTGTGGATGGCCTGCAGGGTGGTGGAAGAATTCACTGGAGGTGGGCAGTCTGGAGCTGGAAGTGGCCTGTTTGATGGGGTAGGAACCTGCTGGGCCCTGAGGCCAGGCCAGAATGGGCTCACAGGAAGCAACTCACTAGGGTGATTGCCACCAGGCCTCCCACAAGTTGATCTGCTGGCAGCCACACCAATAAATAAGATAAAATAGCACACCAGCACCAGGAAAAGAAGTTCCTTTCTTTTCCTATGGCCTTGTATTTCCCTCCAGCATCCTCTATTGACAAAAATCTAAATGTTGTACCAGCTGGCAAAGGAGAAATCGTCCAGATCCAGTAACTTAAGCAAAGCAAAGGAGGGTAGATTTGGAGTTGAGATATGATAAATTAATAACTGATCCACTAACCATTCCCCCCAATATATCATGACAGTTAAACAAATATGAAACTATGCCTCAGAATAAAAATGCTTGGCTGCCATTTTAATAGAAATCAATTCTCCCTTTCTCAGACCTGGCATTTTTCTTTCTGGTATTCTGGTGGAACTGCCTCCTTTGTATGGCAATTTTGTATCTTCCTGCAACTGGAAGACAGATGAGTTTATTGCTTTTGAGTGTTCATATCATCAAATCCCTGACCTTGCCCAGTCACAAAAATACATTTCTGAGCTCCTTGAGAGAGCCATTTCACCTTGGCCCGGGGGATTGGAATGCTCTAGTCAGTAATCTTTCTGCAATGAATAAGAGGAAACACAGCATAGAGATTAAGAGTGTGGATTCTTAACTGACTGTCGGACAAAATGCCTGGGTTTGAATCCTATCTCCATCACTTACTGACTGTGTGACATTAGGCAAGTTGCTGCAACTCTCTGTGCCTGTTTCCTCATCTCTAAAATGGAGATAATAATAGTATTTACCTCATAGAGTTGTTATGAGAATTAAATATATGTAAAACATTTAGAACCATGCTTGGCATATAGAAAGCACTATGTAAGTGTCAGCTGCTGTTACTATTACTACTATTATCATTAATCATTACCTTTTATGCCCAAGAATTATCATTAAGTAATGTGTCCCTAGCACAAACCTCCATATCTAGGCTGGATTTTATTTATTTAACATTCAAATAAAATACTGGAAAGAATTGGCTTTGTCATAATTTTCCCTTAAAGTGATTTTTTGGGGGGTTTGTTTGATATATAGTGTTCAAAATTTAGAAACAGTTTAAAAGATGGAAAAGGCATTTCTCAAAACCCACTGAAAACAGTTAAAAGAATGACAAATGAGGTAAACTCCATCTTCAAAAAAAGGGTCATATACAGATGTCTCCCAAAGTCTCATATCCTGAAAGGCATGGTCAGTGATCTTCTAATTAGAGTGAAGAGATCTAGAGCCATGGCGGGGAGGCAGGTGACAGAAGCAGGGACTGTCCCATAGAGATCTAGTCTGACATATCAGAGTGGCAGGGGAAGATGCTAAAGAAGAAACGGTGCCGGCAGATCATTTAGGTTGTCTTCCACCTGGTACCTGGCTGAGGAACACTGGCAGCCATGGAGCAAGATGAAGAAAGGAGATGAGTGTGACTGTCAGACTGTGCTACGAAAGTCCAGTGGTCTACAGGGCTTTTTCTGTGCCATGTTGATCTCCTGGAAACCAAAAGCTGAAGGGAGATAATGCCTGTAGATTTGATAAGAAGGTGTTTGTGGCAGCAGATCTGTATGAAGGCTTTGAGGTGCCCTTGCTCAATTCCCTCTGTCTCTTCCCTCTTTCATAGAGAACCTGCTTCATGCACTGTTGAGTAGTAATCATTTAGGTAACTTTGTGGGATGTGTGCTTGAAAACAGGGGGTTGTTGCTTTAGGAAAGAAAGCAACATGAGTAACAGAGGGATTAGGAGCATACACCCAAGAGGAACAGCAAAGGAATTAATAGGATGCATCCAGCAGAGCTCTCCACTATCTCAAAGAAATTATAGACAAAACCACTGTTTAAATGAAAACTCAAAGAAGACATATAAGAGCTCAAAATAGAGTGTAGATTATAAAAGAATAAAAAGAAGTGAGAAGTAATCTGGCAGAGCTGAAGGAAAAAAGTGGAAGGGAAAACTAAATGCATTACGTAGATGAAACTCATCAAAGAAAAAAGAAAAATAATCACTACAGGGACAAGATGAGGCCTGGAGAGATGACACAGAATGCAGTGTATATTAATATGATTATAGAGAAAACAAGTTGCTACAGAAAGATATTCAAATATATATATAATTAGTGTTCCTAAAGAAGAGAAAAGAACAAACAGAAGGAAAAAAAAACCATTCAAACATAACAGAAGGAAATATGGCTGAAATAAAGACTTGAATCTATTGGAAGGATACAGTGTAGTCCATAGAAAGTTGATATAGAACAGTCCACACCAAGGCATAGCCTGGTGAAGTAACTAAATTTCAGGAATAAATGAACATATGAAGATCTGAGGCAGATGAGCAAGTGATGGGCAAGAGGGAATTTCAGGCTGAGTTTATACTCCTCCATGTTACACTCATGCCAGAGAATAGTAATGCCTGTAAAGTTCTGAAGAGACACAAAGTGTGACTTGATCATTTTTTACCTGGCAAACTGTTCCCTCATATTAAAACAGGCAAATGTTCTCAAGTAGGTAAAAACTCAGGGAGTATGACAGGCAGCCCTTTTTGAAAAGAACTGCTGGGCAGTGAGATATAGCCAGTGAAGAAATGAGTGAAAATAAACACTCAGGACCTCAGAGAACATTGTAAAACAATGGATGAGGAGTGTTGAATAAATTTAAATATGGAACTGACATTAAACAATTGGAAATTATTTTTGTAGAATAGAGGAGGAGAGGTAGTGGGAGTTAAGTATAAATTGTGCTAATTTGCCTGTCTGTCATGACAGGGATCAAGAGATAGCATCTCAAGTAGAAATACATAATTTTAAAAGAAGATCCAAACCTTAATATGTTTCATGATCAGTTTTCCCCCATAATTTTAAAGGAATAATATTTCAAAATTACAGAGAAACAGACTTCCCTGCTGGTCCCGTGGTTAAGACTCTGAGCAGTGGTTAAGACTCTGCGCTTCCACTGTGGTGGGTGCGGTTTTGATCCCTGGTCAGGGAACTAAGATCCCACATGTCACACATAGCGCAGCCAAAAATAAAATAAAATTACAGAGAAACACTTTTTTTTTTTGGCTGCGCCTCGTGGCATGCAGGATCCTAATTCCCCGACCAGGGATCAAACCTGTGCCCCCTGCAACCCGCGCCCCCTGCATTGGAAGTGCAGAGTCAACCACTGGACTGCCAGGGGAGTTCCCACTTTTTCTATTTTTGATCATAAAAATACTACATGCTCATTATAGGAAAAACCAAGAGTAGAGAAGAGCACAGAGAAGAAACTAAAGATACCCAATATTTTGTTATATATTCTCCCAGTCTTATTTCTGGGCATAAATTTTTTTGATACAAAAATGGGATCACAGTATACATGCCCTTATTGTCCTCTTTGCCCTACTTGTGATACTGGAGCTGGACCCTGGAAACAGTTCCCTTTTGTTGGCTGGCTTTGTCAATAGAGGGTGCTGGAGGAACACTGTAAGCCACACAAAGAGAAAGGGGTTTCTCTTGGTACTTTTGAGCTGTTTTGTCTTTTGGTGGGGCCCCCAAATCAACATAAGGGAGGCTTGATGGGGTAGACCAACCAGCTCTGGCCTACCCAACCCTCCAGTGAGTTTTTCCACTACCCAGCAGGCCTTTCCTATGGATTACCTCTAGCCTGCCTGCACCCTTCAGTGAATTTCTCTGTCATTTGGCAGGCCGTGCCAACAGACATGCCCTCTGACAAATTTCTTTACACCAGCAGGCTGTGTTTCTTTGGCAACCACAACCCATCCAAAAAAGTCTGAATCCCTGCTTTGGGGTGGGGGGGAGCCCTCTTCTAAATTTGTGGTTCCTTCCTTATTTACTCCTCCTTAGTCCTAGAGGTAAGACAGCTTCCTGCGTTATCTATTTCTACACTCCTTAGTGTTTTCTTTAGATCCTTTTAGTAGTTAGCTACCTTTACCGGTTAAATATTCTTTATATTAAATGTCCCTTGTTTAAACTATTGGTATAGTTTTTGTCTCCTGACTGGATCCTGACTGATACAGATACATATTATCATTTCATTTTAGATCTAGAACAAAGTGAAGATGATACAAGAAGAATAGGAAGGGGGCTAAGAAAGAGGAAACAAAAATTTGTTTAGAAATAGTGCTAAAAGGAGTCCTCTCTGTAAGAATCATTAGGGTCAACCTTTACCACAGGCATAGGTATGGCAAAGCACCCAGTCCTTAGTCCTACACAGCATTCCCTGCAGAGATGAATGGCATTCTCTGCTCAACATTTTCATCCAATTCCATAGGTGAAAGGAATAGGGAGTAATTTAAGGAACTCTTTGCCTCAGAGGATGTCTGGAGAAGGGTACAGTATCTGAAACATAGGCTTGATCAGAGATGAGTCCTCCTCTACAATCCAATCCAGCTGAACTCAGAGCTTCTGGGAAAAGGGCATTGTTATTTTATATCATTCACTGATGTGTTCACCTAACTTACATTAACTAAGCACCCACCATATTCCAGACACTGTACTAGGTACTGGCAATACAAAGGTGAACATCCCTGCCCTCAAAGAACTTACAGTTCAATGAAGGGAGATACATGTGTAAATGGACAAGACGATAGTGTGGCCAGTGCTGGAATAAGGTGAGCACTGTCCGGTATGGGAGAACCTGAATCAACGAAACATGGTAACTGCAAGTGGGGGAAGAAAGGAGTCAAGAATGACTTTCAGTTTTCTGGCTTAGGCAATGGGTGGGATACGGTGCTGTTTATGAAGACAGGGGTCAGAGAAGGAAGAGTAGGTTTGGAGGGTGGGAGAGTAGGTCCAAAGATCTGAAGATGAGTTGAGTTTTTCGTCATCTCTTGGTTTCTAACAGGAACCAAGCTCAGGGAGAGGCAAGGAGTTGTCAACTCCACAGATTCGGCTAGACGCCCTTCAACAAAGAGCAGAAGCATCTTATCTTGTCTCCAAGAGTCAAAGCCATTGGGAATCCTTAATCCTCCAATTCCACTGAGCTCTTTAGAACCTTTTCTTGTTTTTTGCTTTTCAACCGAAACTCAGAGAATTCGGGGTGTATAGAGTCTAAGTTAGAGGACAGAGCCCCTACTCGGTGAGACCAGCTCTGTCTCTTCCTCTAGTATCTCTGCCATGCAGGGATTCCACTGAGTGTGGACCTGAGGCCCAGCATCCTTTTGCGATTCATTCACAGCCACATCCTGCAACATCTTGAATTCCTGAAACAGAAGTTCCTGTTCTGCAACTACCCGATAAGGAGTTGGCAGCAGATACTCCATAGCTTCCCTTTCCTTTTTAAATCTCTACTACTTCCTGCATTCCCTTGGTCTCAGTAGATAATCTTGCCCCTCGCTTTAAAAATATGTGAGACCATGTGGTAAAAATCACCTCACGTTCCTCTCTCTTTTCAATGACTCCTCATCTTTACTGTATTTTGTCTCTTCCATTCTCTAGTATTTATTGCTCTTTAACTGAGCCCCTATGATGGGCCAAGCACCACGCTAGGTGGTTAGAATACAATAATGAGGACAGAGTCCCTGCCCTTGACTAGTGTGTGGTGTCAATTAAATGTGTTAAATACACAATAAGGGTAAGTGTGGGTGCCGTGGGACCTCATGAGAAGAGCACAACCTGAGGGGGGTGGGATGGGTAAGGAAACTTCCTGAAGGAAGCAGCTTCTAAGGTGAGGCCTGAAAGACAATTTGAGATAACTAGACTAAAAGAAGAAGGAAGAGCTTTTCAGATTGAGGCTGAAGCATGTACAAAGGCCAGGAGGTGAGAGAAGCTACGATGTGTTCATGGATGCACCATATGACTGAAGCCCAGAATACAGACAGTAAACGATGAAGCTGGGGAAGCGGCGGTCAAACCACGGAGGGCCATGTATCCCAGGCTAAGAAGCTTGGACTTTCTCCTGAAGGCAGTGGGGAACCCCGAAAGGGGTTAAAGCAGGAGAATGACATAATTAGATTTATCTTTTTAAAAGACTGCTCTGACAGCTTTATGGAGAACAGACTAAAGGGTGCAAGGCTGAAAGCTGGGATATTGCTTAGGAAACTACAGCAGAATCTATGATGGAGACAGTGAGGGCCTCATCACTGACAGTGAGTTACTGGGACTGGAGACATTTTAAAGTATATTAAAGAAGCAAAAACAGGGAGAATCGGTGCTGTCCTGAATGGAAGGTGTGAGGGAAAACAGAAGGCATTAAGGATGACACCCAAGTTTCTAGCTCGGACAACTGCCTAAGCTGGGTAGTGGGACCGAAAGAGTGGCGGTGAGGGGGAGGAGGTGGTGAATTCCACTTCAGACACGTTATATTTGACGTACCTGTGTGGCATCCAGGAGAAAACTTCTGAGAAGCCAATGAATCAGTGGGTCAGGAACCCAGGAGGAAAATCTAGAATGGACACACAGATTTTGGAACCATCAGCATATAATTAGTATCTAAAGCAGAAAAGTGGCGATTACAGCTCGGAGGCAGCTTAGAGTTCTGAACACAACAGGGCTTTGGAAGCAAGCAGAACCAAATTAGAATCCCAGCTTCTTAATCTCCCCCAACTATCATTTCTGCAAATGTAAAGCAGAAATACCACTGATTCCAAAGTGTTACTGTACACATTTTTAAAAACCCACCCTGGGAATTCCCTGGTGGGCCAGTGGTTAGCACTCGGCACTTCCACTGCCGTGGCCTGGGCTGGGGAGCTAAGATCCGCAAGCCACGCGGCATGGCAAAAACAAACAACAACAACAAAAAACAGCCCACCCCAATGTATATAAAGCCACACACCTCTACAGTGTAAGCCTCCCAAGAGTGTAAGCTCTGTGGGGATGGGGGTCTTTGTTCTGTACAGTGTTGGAACAGTACCTGGACCATAGTGGGTGCTCAATTAAAAATCATTGAATAGGGGCTTTCCTGGTGGCACAGTGGTTAAGAATCCGCCTGCCAGTGCAGGGGACATGGGTTCGAGTCCTGGTCCATGAAGATCCCACATGCTGCGGAGCAACTAAGCCCGTGCGCCACAACTACTGAGCCTGAGCTCTAGAGCCCACAAGCCACACTACTGAAGCCCGCATGCCTAGAGCCCATGCTCCGCAACAAGAGAAGCCACCGCTATGAGAAGCCTGCGCACCGCAACAGAGAGTAGCCCCTGCTCACCGCAACTAGAGAAAGCCTGCGCATAGCAACAAAGACCGAACTCAGCCATAAGTAAATAAATAAATAAATTTATTTTTAAAAAAATCATTGAATAAATGAATAGTAGGTTAACTCTCTTCCCTCTTTCCCTTGACTAATCCCTGAAATTTTTTTCTCCCTTGGCTTCCATAATGCATGATACTCCACCCACTCTACTTTTTTTTATTGTCTTTACCCTTTCAGCTTTTCCTTCCTTCTAGTCCTCTCCTTTTATATTCAGTATCTCAATGACCATACCACCTCTGACTTCAGTGATCACCTTTGTCCAGAATGAACCATAAATTTAAAACTCCTCTATTCCTCACCTACATTGTAGTCTATATTCACAATGCATCTCCAGTCCAACGTCTTATTGACAGTCAAGAAGGATCAAATGCATGAAAATGAACTCAACATTTTGCTTCTAAATGTATTCCCCCTTCTTACTATCTGTTTCTGCCCAAATGACCAGTTTTCATTGAACAAATATTTAACATGAGCCTATAGTGTCCAGGCACTGTTCTAGGCCCTGGGATACTCTGGTGAAGAAGCCCCTAATGGGGCTTGTATTCTAGGGCTTTCTAAGCCAGAAATGCAGTAGTTTTGTTTTGTTTTTAATTAAAAATACTTTACTGCTAAAAAATTCTAACCATCATCTGAGTCTTTAGTTAGTCATTATCTTTTTTCAACAGTAACATCAAAGATCACCAGTCACCATAACAAATATAATCATAATGAAATAGCTTGAAATATTGCAAGAATTGCCAAAATGTGACACAAACATGAAGTGAGCAAGTGGTGTTGGAAAAATGACACTGATAGACATGCTCAACGCAGGCTTGCCGCAAACCTTCAATTTGTAAAAAATGCAATATCCATGAAGCACAATAAAGCAAAACACAATAAATTGAGGTATGCCTGTACTATTGTAGAATTATCTATTTCTCCTTTCAGTTCTGTCAATTTTTGCTTCATATACTTTGCAGTTCTGTTGTTAGGTGTGTATACATTTATAAGTCTTACATTTTCTGGTTACTGCCACCTAAAATGTGATCCACACACCGGCCACAGTAGCCTCACCGAGGAGCCTGGTGAAATGCAAATTCTCAAGCACCACCCAGACCTACTGAGTCAGTCTGTGTGGGAGGGGCCCAGCAATCTGTGCTTACCCAGCTCACGCTCCAGGTGATTCTCAGCTTGCTACAATCTGAGAAGCAGCGCTCTGGGAGGCAAGTCATCTTGGACCCCTCTCTCTCTATCCCTTCTATCCGTACCTACTAACTCTGAAAACTGTTCCAACTCCATCTTAACCTAGAACCTTCTCACCCCATGCTTGGATTCTCGTAAAATCGCTAAACGTTTTCTGGCTCCAATCAATGCTGATAACACTGTCGGATGAAATAATTTTCTAAAGCACTGCTGACACCAATGATCAAAAATCTACCATGGGGCTTCCCTGGTGGCGCAGTGGTTGAGAGTCTGCCTGCCGATGCAGGGGACACGGGTTCGTGCCCCGGTCCGGGAAGATCCCACATGCCTCAGAGCGGCTGGGCCCGTGAGCCATGGCCGCTAAGCCTGCGCGTCCGGAGCCTGTGCTCCGCAACGGGACAGGCCACAACAGTGAGAGGCCAGCGTACCGCAAAAAAAAAAAAAAAAAATCTACCGTGACTTTTCTATCATCCATTAAAGGAAATAATAGCTTCTTTTTGACTCACAGAACTGTAATATATCCTAGGGCTGCCATGACAAAATACCACAAACTGGGTGACTTAAAACAACAGGAATTTATTCTCTCACAGTTCTGGAGGTTAGAAGTCTGAAATGAAGGTGTTGGCTGGGTGGCTTCCTTCTGCAGGCTCCTAGGGATAACTGTTCCATGCCTCTCTCCTAGCTTCTGGTGACATCTGGCAATCCTTGTGTTCCTTGCTTTGTAGATGCAGTACTTCAGCCTCTGCCTCCACCTTCACATGGCATTCTCGCTGTCTCTGTCTCTTCACCTGGCCATCTTCTTATAAGGACACTAGTCATATTGAATTAGGGGCCCATTCTACTCCAGTATGACCTCATCTTACCTAGTTACGTCTGCAATGACCCTATTTCCAAATAAGGTCACATTCTGAGGCACTGGGGGCTAAGACCTCAACATATCCTTGTTGGGGGACAAATTCAACCCATAACAATAGCCCCATTCTATGATTCACGAAAGAGCAAACCTATGCTCTCGGATTCTCCCTAAATTCCCATATACTAGGCTTCTTCCCATTCTGTCCCTTTGCCCATGACTCTCCTACTTGTGATGTCCTTCCTACTCTCCTTCATCTACATCAATATCAAATGCAGCAAGAGGCCAGGCAGTTAATCAGAATGGGTGAAGCAAACAAGGTGATAAATGACAACTGATACTTTGCTGCAGTGTCCGGGAGGCAATGATTACTGGGGACTGGGGATCTGCAAATTTTGTACTGAGTCTAAAGGAGGGAGCTGCTACTCAGTTCCTCCCAATTGCACCATGCAGACATGTGTGCCCTATTTGGCCACATCTTCTGATTGTCCAAGAGATGCTGAAAATCCAGATTCTTGAGTGAGTGGACGTGAAAGAAATTTTCTGATTTTAAAATGTTGGCCACTAATTCAAGTAAAAACAAACAGCATGAGTCAGGAAAATGTGTCTACAGGGAATTCCCTGGCAGTCCAGTGGTTAGTTAGGACTCTGCGCTTTCACTGCGGTGGCGGGGTTCAATCCCTGGTTAGGGAACTAAGATCCCCAGAAGCTGCAGGGAGCGGCCAAAAAAAAAAAAAAAAAAAAAAAAGTGTCTACAGTCTACTCTGGCCCAGGGGCCATACTTTTACAACCTCTGACTTACACAAATTCCTCCCACTGTTTCAGGCTCACCTTAGTTAGTACCTTCTAACTATTTCAATCCTTTTAATTCATATTCATGTGCATGCATTAGTTGATGCTACACAAGATGGAGTCCCTGCCTAGGGGCCTGGAAGACTTAGATAAACAGACACACACGGAACCAGGTAGTAAGGGTTTGTGAAGTAGACGCCAAACAAGCTAAAAAAAGATGAAAAGCTTAAAGAGGGAGGGAGGGAGGTGGCAATCCTGGAAGGCTTCCCAAAGAAAATGACTTTAGAAGCTACCCCTAAAAGAATATGCAGACGTTTACAAAGAAGAGACCAGCCCAAATCCCTCCCTCCTCCGAACTCCCAACAGTACGAACATTTTAGATGAGGTATTACAACATGTCTGAACCATACAGTTCATTCCTGTGGTTCAGTCTAGTCTTCCCAAAGGGTCTGTCAGTTACTCCTGGAGCGTTCTACGCGCGTGACACGGCATTGTGCAAGTAACAGGGTCAATTCATGCCCGGGGTTTGATTCTGGGCCTGGGGGAGATGCGGTTTGCAGTACTCACAGGAGGGAACTGGAACAGACTGGAAAAGGGAGACGCGACGCGGGGCGGTGGGGGTAGGGGTGTGTGGTGTGTATGGAGATGGGCGGGGTACGCCGAGAACCAGGAGAGGGCCAAGGGCATAGAAGGCCTGGCCACGCGCACCCGGCACCTAAGTCCCGGAGGCCGCAGCCTCTCCCCGTTCGGAGAAATGAGGGGTCAGCGCCCACCTCCGAAGACCTGCTCTCCACCCCGCTTCCCCAGGGCACCCAGGCGCTGGGGCCCCCAGTTCTGCGATCGCAGCGGGGTCTCACCTCCAGGCCACCCCTAGCCTCCCGCTCGACCGTGGCCCCCTGCACGGCCGCCAGCGCTCAGCCCCAGCTCCTCCCTCGGGCACGGCGCCACCACCCTGGACATCGTGCCCGCAGCGGCCGGCCACTTCCGGCGTGCTCCCCCAGGCGGCCGTCCCCCGCCGAGACGCCGGACCCGGCTGTGCCCGCCAATCCGCGGGCGCGCTCCCAAGCCTCCTCCCACCCGCTCAAGGGTCTTCCCTGCGCAGGTTCGGCGTCGTTCTCTCGGTCTCACGCGAGCAGAGTCCTGAGGGTCCAGCGCCGCGCAGGTTGGTGCACCTGCAGGCGCCAAGTAACGTGTGCGAGGCCACCACCGAGACGCAAGTCCTCCGGGGGGTCCTAGACTCGCCCACGGCTGGCTTCTGGCCAGTCGGTCTGGGTGGGGGACCCTGTCAGATAACCACGCTTTTGTTCTAATTTTTAATTTTGTTTTTTCCCTGCGTGCTTTTGTGGTCTCATTCATTGATGACTTCTGTTTGCAGTGCCCTCTCAAAGGCTTGGTAGTACAGAGATAAACAAGGATAGCGAAATGTTTAAAAGGGCAAGTTCTGAAGTGAGAACATCAAGACACTCAGAAAGTCAGACAGAATCGCTGACCCACCATTTATGGACTATGTGACTTTGGGCAAATTACCTAACCTCTCTGAGTCCAATTTAATGGATTATCCTACTTTTCCTCACTGATTTTTGTTTATTTTAATTTTATCTATTTTTGGCTG